TTTAGTTTTCCCCATTGGTGGATCTCTCCTCTCCGCTATCCGAGAAGAAGGGCCCACCAATGAGAAGGGTGCACTGGTTCGACCAACTCCGCCCGTGTGACCATTGCGGAAAGCTCCATTATCAGGGCACGCTCCGTCGTTGGGCGAAAGTTTTAAGGATTCTTTTTAAAATTCCGATTCCTCGCGCACGGAAAAATTCCGATTCCGATTCCGAAAAATTCCGATTAGGAAAAATTCCGATTTCTCGCGCACGGAAAAACTTTCTTGGGGCTAGCAATTACATAAGCAAATCCTCTCAAAGCGACGGAGCAAATACCAACCCCCCCCTCTCCTCCAATCAGTTCCAGTTTGAAGTCGTTCTAACTTCATGAGTACTGTAAAGCGACGAGCAAATACCACCCCCCCCCCTCTTCCAATCCAGTTCCCAGTTGAAGTCTTCTAACTTCATGGTAGAGTAGGTAAAACAGAACGATCAACTATCAAAAGAATTTTCTCACACCGAATACGACCGCTCCGCCAGCGACCGAATGCGACCATTCCGCTGGATTCCCTAGGATACGACGGGCCTTGTCCATTCACTAAGCTACAGCGGTCGAATCGTAAGTTACTACATACTCGTAAATCGTCTGCTGTCACGCCCACTATGGATCCCAATAGCTTAATTAGCAGCAAAGTCGGACTTTCGTTTCGTTTCTTAATGCCGCTAGGCATACAAGTTTCGTGCAAAGGTCTGAGACAGCTTAGAAGCGGCAAATATGTAGGTGGGACGATTCTGGAGGCCTCATACTCTTGGCGGAACTGGATAAGGACCACAGTCCTCCCGCCCGTCTAGTCCAAACCGCGTTATGGGATAGTCTTGTAAAGTTTTCCATTGTCCTTCTGGAGTTTCCTCATCAAGTTTAAGCAATATATCAAGATTGCCTTGGGCCAAAACGCAGGAAAAGGCGCTAAAAAACTCCAAGGATTACTCATCGTTGACAGTCGGCTTGCGAAGGTAGTTACTCTACTTCAATACGCTATCAAAAAACCTAATGAAATTACGTTAATACCGCTTTTGTTCGGAAATATTAATTTTTAGTTTTACCTAAGAATTTTTACCTCAAACTACTCATATTACTTCAGCCATTTAACTAGCGACAGAATGGCATCGCCGTAATAATTAATTCCATTTTCCACAAATACTGTGCCTCCGTGTAAGAGGGAAATGGTAATAATGGTATGAAAAACTCTGTAAAAACTGCTAGGTACGGTAAGTGCGAATTTTTTCTCTTTACTCAATATCTGTAAAAGTACTTTTTCAGTGTGATAACACATTTACCTTCCCAGAACCCTGCTCCGAAGATGTAAACACCTATTATGGGTGGGGCAAAAATTGTGGGAACCTAGAGCGTAAAGGCCAATGCGAGCGATCATTTGATCATCATGGGGGCAAACTGTTAGGCAGCGTTCATAGTTCGCGACAGCAGCGGCGATCGCCGATCGTGCGATCGCCAGTAGGAGGACCAGCTCGCCCCAAGATGGACGGATTGAAAAACTTGTTGGAAAGGTATTTTCATGCGGTTTTTTTCTTTCTTCCGCCTAATCCTCTTCGACGTACCTCACCTCTCATTCCCCCCCTACCCTCCCCCGACCTCGCCCCCGACTCCGCCCCTCACTCCGCTCCCTGAATCCGCCCATTCACTCCTTCATAACGCCTTTCACCTCCCCGATTTCAGGGAATTCCCCGCCGACTCAGTGGAGTGTGTCATTAGGTCCGCCTGGGGCACCACGTACTCAGTGTGTCATTAGCCTCCGCCGCCATGCCCTCTTCCCCTGCTACCAAGCCCCGCCTCCGCCCACTTCTCCCAAAATTTTCACTTTTTCTCAAGGCTTCCCACGGGCTCCCACGTCGCTCCCCCCTAGTACCCAGGCAAAGTGTGTCATTAGGTCCGCTTGGAGCACTACGTCTCACTGTGTGCGCCGCTCGAACTACTTCCACTATTTCGGCAATTCCCCCGTCCAATCAGTGAGGTGTGTCATTAGGTCCGCTCTGGGGCACTACGTCCTCAGTGTGTCATTAGGTCCCCAGCCACGCCCATATCCATATCCCACCAAGCCCCGCCCCGACTCCGCCCACTTCTCTCAGAATTTTCGTTTTTTTTCTAGACTTTCCCACAACCTTCCCCGTCCCACCCTAAGTACTGAGGCAAGGTGTGTCATTAGGTCCGCCTGGGGCACTACGTCCCACTGTGTGCGCCGCCACGCCCTTCCGTATGCCACCAAGCCCCGCCCACTTCATAAAAATTCACCATTTCTTCATGAGACTTGGTATTTTCACCTCCCACACTCCCAAACATCACTGCCCACGGAAGTAGAAAATATGAAACTATGTGAAATTTTAAACCGGGCTGATATCTCGATCTAGAAGCCTATTATTTAACTGCACCCCACTTATTAATCAAATAACCCCCTCACTGAGAGTACCCTCGTCATCCGGGCAGTTGATTAGGGCGGTCGTCAACGAGCCGCGGCTGCAGCAGCGACCGCGTGCGTAGGAACTATTTGCTTTTTCCGGCCTAATTTAGTCATTTTTCCCTACTTTTCACTGTTTTTGGCTGCTTTTTCCAAGATTAGCAGTTCCTTGTCTTCACAAGGTAAATTATAATTGGAATTTTTATAACATTTGCGAACAATTAAACGATTAAACAAACAATTAGACAAATTCCTGAAAAAATCGCGAAAAACACACCATTACGAGAGAAAATAAAAAGTTCACGAGTTTAAACTTCATATAGACAATAACGTAAATAATCTTGAAAAAATAGGAAATACAGTGAAAATTAGGGAGGAAATTGCTAAATTAGGGTGGAAACAGCTGATCGCCGCGGTCGTGACTGCAGCGCTCGGACGAAGCCGCTGCAGCTCGGCTGATCAACTGCCCGGATGACGACGATACTAGTGGGGGGAGAAAAAAAAACCACATGAAAATACCTTTCCAACAAGTTTTTCAATCCGTCCATCTTGGGGCGAGCTGGTCCTCCTACTGGCGATCGCCACGATCGCCCGCGATCGCGGCGATCGCGCGATCGCCGCTGCTGTCGCGAACTATGAACGCTGCCTTAACCCGGGCTCAGGGACACTTTGGTTACGGGAAATAGGACTATGAGCCGTACTGTGCACGCGTTTGCCGCGGCAAGAATGGCCAGAAGTGAAGCAGGAGTTCCAGTTTGGGGTCTTCAGGGGATGTGCACGTAACACGACTATGAGTGCCTTCGGCTATGCGGAGGAGAGGGTCTACTTGGCCAATTCTTTTCTGTTAACTTACGGGCTTCGCTTTGATAAGACGTGTGGACTCTTTCCGAGTGAACGAAGTAGGGCTATTGCATAGCCTCACAAGTTCGTATGTCTCTGCAGAAGGCACTGGGAATGATCGATGGGAACCAGAAGGTGCCCTCAGTAAGCTGAATTGACCCTTGATTCGTCTGGCTCCTTGCGCAGAATTTTCTGGCACTAATACAAACAACCCTCGTGACTGGACTGGTCCCGAGTTTTTACTAGTCAACTACTTTGTTTCCGTATTTTTGCGTCACTGTGTATCATATCAATGTGTATGTGTGTACGTGTACACACATACTTGTGTGTGCTGTGTGTGCACGACTTATTGACACAATATGCATGTGACGTCGAGCGCTGCAGAACGAAAAACAACGAAATAATGGGTTGTGAACAAGCGTGAAAAATACGAGTTAAGTATGAGTATCAGCTCTGTTTTGTAGGATTACGCATAGGATTAGCAGGAAGTAGCTGGACACGGAACCTATTTAATCAGTAGCAGGGGCACCTGCTGTTTACGTATTCAATTCAGGCTCAAAAACTATGTGAGATTTGTGTAAGCAACAAAAAAAATCAGGTCTCAAGATTTTTCTACCCCAGAATGCTTCACAAAAAAAAGCTCCCTCCTTCGTGAGTGAAATATTGCAAGGCAACTTCTGGGGGGCTTTTTAAACTTTCGGGAGCAGTTGAGCACTTCAGAATAAGATGTTTTGCAGTTCCGTTTTGTTATGGCGCAATCAGATCGCTATAAGGCTTCCAGACAGCATAATACTCAGGTAACTAGTACATTTACTTATCCAGTTAAAAATTTACCCCCGCTTATAATGCGCCATTACGAATAGGCTAGAAAGTATGTGGCTAACTAGAACTTGAAATAGCAATACCCATAGAAGTATTCTTGTATGATAACCGTCGTTTAGCGCTCTGCAAGTTAACCCAAGGATGCTGATTAATGGGTAAAACTCAGACCCCAGGCAGGGCTCGATCCCGCAACTTCCGCTGATCGGGTGAGTGCGCCGTCCAGCCGTCCGCCATGATTACTTTTGCCCGTGACTCGACATTCTTGTGACAATTCCCCAAAGAACCGCGATTTAACTGAAAATGTCCGTTAATCAGGACAGGGACGGCGCTCTATTTCAAGAAGGTGGGACTTTTGGGCCCATAGCTCTCTCAATATTTGAGACTACGCTATTGGGTGCAAGGAACGATAAGGATTTTTGCCTAAGCCTTGGAAGGGGGGAGGGGGGGGGGGAGTGAGGAGGGATCGATGAACAAATTCCTCTGTGACAAAATTTTCTGACCGTATCCGACCGAAACGGCTCCCTTTCCGCAATATAAGCACGCGAGAACTCCACTTACTCGTTATTTCGAAAATGTAATAGAAAATACATATCAAAAAGGCAGTGTAGGTGAAGGACATTCAATGAAACAGACAATACTCACGAAAGCGCTATGTTACCTAGGTTCTCTTGTTGTACATATGTACGACATTCGCACAGCATGTATTTTTTTTATTTGTAGTTTGTACGGCCGGCCCCGTAGGCGTGTAGCCTCAGTCACGATGCGACGTCACTCAGTGTTACTGCTCGCCGCGCGCGGCAAGTTTAGACATTCCTTCATCTAATCCCGCGCAAATGTAACATGCTCAGCATGCCGCAAGCTTATTCGATGCAGTATCTGACCTAATGTCACCCCACACCCTTAACTAACAAATAACCAAATCCGGTTCGCTTACCTTTAGGATCCATACCCATGTCGAAGCACTTTTTCAAGCGACAACTGCGACATACACATCGAACCGCTGAAACGCACCGTATTCACGACCAACCACTTAGTGACTACGTTTAAAATCACTTCTAACTTTCCTCAGTCTCAACCGGGTTCTGTTTGGGGAGTTGTGGGAAAGCTGTAGCACTCATGCGTTTGCTGAACTCGTCGGATCAGCCGGGACATCGCTGAAGAGCGATCCCTTTGAAAAATTCTGATTTTACCCAACTCTATGTTTCTCCCTGGTTCTCCCTGGTTTCCACGAGTTGTGTCTAGACCAGTTAGCGCACAAATTGTTGATTTATTCTGTGTTAATGCTTCGCCTGGCATGTGATCGATCGCAGGCAGGACTACCGCCTGAAAACAAACAACGTCACTGCGGCGACAAGGCTAAGTTGACACGCCGCATGGAGAGCGAAAGCAACTATTGACACGAATTTTTACTTCCGATCTCCCCTTGAAAATTCATATGAGGTCCCACTAAGTAAACAAAAACTGGTATAGGTGCACAATTCATTGGAAAAAAATGAAGGGCAGAACAAGGAAAAAAAACTAACATTTGCCGACCACACAGTCGCCCGAGAACTGGCACGTGAACGTCTGCTTGTTCTGAAACAGTTACTTGGTAGTAATCAGAACCGATAACTCGGACGCTAATTAGTATTACTACTAGAAGCAATTCAGATACTTAGTAGTAACTTACAACAAGTGCACGGCGGAAGAATGTTTTGCAGCCATTGCAGCTTGGTACAGAGTAGTGAATTCCGCTTGCCAGATCGGCGCAGACCACACATAGCGTGCCTTCGGGGATCTTCTCGCGTTCTGAAGGGATTTTGTAAAATTCCAAGTGGTAACTTAAGTCTAACTTTTCAGTACATGAGGATGAACAGGATTATTACATTACTGGCTACTTTCAACATATTCAAAAAAATCTCTGATTCTCCACCTGCATGGGGCTTGATAGCGTTTTCTACTGGCTTGAGTCTTTTGTCTCTAAGATTTTTGTTATTAAGTAAAAGCAAAGTAACTTATGACAATAACAACATAATTATGAGCAGCACATTCCTGTGAAGTAGCCGCAAGGCTATATATTAGAAGCATGCCCTCATCAGGTAATTACTCTTAACAATTAGGAGTGGTTACCCGGCTGATTGCTAGTTACCGCAATTGCTGAGAACCCTGATAAACTTAATATAAACGCTGATAAATCATAGGATTGTCATGGAAAAATTGATTATTTCGTTGGGAAAAAAACCAAGGTTTAACTGCGCATAACTTACTTTTATTATGTGGAGCGATTTCGTGGTAAAGTACCATGGAAATAGGGGTAGCTAGCATGACCTCGATAGTAGAGTAGCGGCAGCTTTCTGTTGTTATGAGGTGCGAGCGCTGTAGAGGCGTGGCGACGACGCTGCCACCACAATTCTCTCAATAACCCTGAATGGGCGGAACTCAGCGCCCCGCGACTTGCCGCTAGCAGTAACACGTCTACGCTCACAACGGCTGTCATCATCTCTACGGCGTAAAACGAAGTAGTAATTAGCACGTTCGCGCTCAACAGAAAAGAGGGAAGGGATTTTTTCGGAACGAAAAAAAGCCAAAGAGGGGAAGGGTGTCCATTAGATGGATTGCATTTCATTTTGTTATATACCACGTTCTTCCTGTTCTAAAAGTTCCTGTTGTATACGCCGTAGATACTGCGCTGTTGCTTTAGCGGCAGTGTCCATGATGAAGAGAGCACGCAGTGAGTCAGGAATTTCCAGCGAGGGGGTCCTATTTGGTTGGAGGAAGGAAAGCGGGTCGTGGTTGATTTTGGAAAGAGCGTATGCTGTTCGTATTTATTCTGTGAACTTTCCTTGATTTTTCCCGTTTTAATGGTTTAATCCATAAAGTGAGAAAATGTATTCTCTCTGTTGGCTGTTGAGGCTGCATACCATGGTACATTACACATTTGGGGAATCCTCTACTTAAGCGGAGGGGGGGTCACATCTTAATTCCCGAACGGGGTCAAGGAGTCGTATTTAGCCTTTCCCTTGCTGATTTGTTGCCGTTTCTGTGCACCTCAAAGTACAGCTCCCACCTGGTAATGCAAACGGTCGGTCCACCCAGTCCTCGAGCCGCGTGCGCATTTTGGTGGGAGGGGTGGCATTCTTAAAAACTCCCCATCGCCATGGACAGTGGGCGTTATTCCAGCCAACTCGCTCAGGTTTTGTGACTCAGACGTTAAAACCAATGGTCCACAGTGGTAAACAAACGTTTTTTTATAGCTCACAGCCATTGATCACCAGCCGCGACGTCGGCAGATAGCAGGAGGTGATAAGACGTCGCGGGAAGTCTGGCGGTCAAAGGCACACAAAGACGAAAAAGTAACAAAACTGAGATAGTAGACCATACAGTAATCAAAAGATGCCCAAACGCCCTAATTCCCGCGCGTAACTCATAGAACTCTAGATAGTGGTTGTAAGAGCAAAGGCCCTGTTTCTAAGTAAGACACTCGGCAATTTTTTTCCTCTCTCTGTCGCAGACTAATTAGCAATTCCGGTTTCATTTCCGACCTTATCCTTACCCTGCATTCTCGCTAAGATACGAGCGTATGCAAATGGGTGGACGCATCGTTTTAATGAGGACGGAAGCTTCCTCGAGAGGATCAGCTTGTTTTCAAAGTAATCCTTCACGATGTTAGCTTATTCAGCCGTAAAGATTAGACAACCAAGGATAAGAAGGAAAAACAGCTAATTAAGCCATTGAGCCGCAGCACCCTTGAAGACAAAATGCGATTAGCTGTCACGTAAAATCCCTTCCGTGTTGTCTATGAGCAGATGCAGAGCTACGTATTGTGAATGCATCACTTAGCAACTAAGCGCGTTGTAAGAATGCCAGGGGCTTGGAACTTGGTTTAATTGCACCCTCACAAGCTCGCTCCACCCATATATCCACCTTCGTTGCTTGGACAGTGATGAGTTCTCTACTCGCAGCTGTCTGTTCTTTTGCCCACGCCTCCCAGCGTCTCTGCGTCTCGTATTATCCCATACTCATCCTGCGCTCAAAATCAACCTGGGTTCTGTTAAGACATTCTCAAAATCTGCACAATCCGTCTTTGATTCTATTCTGGGAAGTGAGGGGATGGGGGAGGGGGCGAAAGGTGGCTTAGGGGTAAAAATAGAAACACACTCGAAAAACATTCAAAGTCACGAAGTGCCAACCCCTTGATTGTGCTACAGTTTTGAGCTGTACAGATCCATTTAATTAACTTTACTGTACTGCTGAGTATCAAACTGTAAGATGTGTCCAATTCATGGGGAAAGGGTGTCGAGACACTGAAATGTTTTGAAGGAAGAGAGAAACAGCCTTTTGAATGACATGTTACCGGAAGTGCAAGCCATGTTTTAGCCTTGAAAAGACAAAATCTGCCATTTCATGAAAGAAGGAACCCCTACCGTGTGCAATCTGCAGGTCTACACAGAAACCAAGACTTTGCCCCCGGAAGTGAAGTAAAAGGGCGAAGAAGAGAGGCAGTGGGAAATGGGCGAAAACGCCAAAGCAAACGACTTGAGTCTGACCGCAGTTCTTCGGATGGACTCTACTCACATTGCACTCTGTTGTTTGTGCATCTGTGTGCACACTTGCACCTCTTTGCAGGGTTTTCTGCTTGCACTGCTGAGCGTCTCTGCGTCTCTGTTCACCACCTGCTCATAGAGAGCCGACAACGGCAAAAGGAAGTTCAGAGCATTTCGGCTTTGTTCCATGGTGATTAAACTTGCCATTTTGAACAGGGTTAGCGGGGAAGTTCAATCGCAAAAGGGCCCACTCCAGGGAATATGGACCTAAACCAGGATTTTTTTTGCCAAAGAACAATAGAATAGAAATTCCACGAATTACTCTACTCAAGCAAGAGGGAGAAAAAGCTCGTTGAGACAGGATTATGGAGCTCCACTTCAGTACATCATTAGGTATTGAGAGTTCTATTTCAGCCCTTTACACAAGTCCTTTAAAAGTAGTAAGAGTGGTTAAAATGTCACACAAGCTCATTACAACTTCTATCAGCGTAAGAGTATGATGATATGAAACATCTTCAAAATTTGAACTGAATAAAATCTATAAATCAACGCACAGATAAAGAAAAAAGTACTCACTGCTGTTTGTCATTAGGAGCTTCTGGATTGGGCATAAAAGATTAAAGTTGCATAAACCTGAAAATAAACATTAAAATTGTGGGATATTTTCGGGGTGTCCATTTTTATAGGTGCATTTTCTATACTTGTTAATCAGTCATAGCGGATTTCAACGCAGTCGAATAGCGCTGGATTCATACTTTTCATTGTCGCGTAGTACATCACGTTTTGCGAAGTTTAGTTAAAAATCTTCATCAAAACTTTTACAATTTTTGGTTTTTCGAGCAGTTTTTCACGTTCATTCATGAGAAACTAAAGCTAAGACAAGGATTTAATTAAACCATTGGATCCTCGACTGTGCTATCCGACGGCATCAAAATCCACTACTAATCGCCAGTAGATTATGAAGTATTTAGCATGAGAACGAATTTGCGGAAACTTTGTTTCAATAGATATCGGAATACAGACGAAAAAATTTTTGAAAGCCTGGTGAAGAGAGATCATAGCAAAAATAAAATGAGATTTCTTGCAAATTTTCAAGCAAATCACATGTACGGCACAATTTTATCGAATGCTAAAGATCAGGAGAATCTTATCGGCGCTCGGAATGAAACGCTACGGGACGAGGTCTTGTCGGCGAAGGGATAGCCACGCGGATTTGCAGGCTTACATGACTGCTTGAATTTTTTCCGTGATTCTCTTATTAGGCCGAACGACTAACCGAGCGGCTGCCAGGGTATTGAATCCGCGAAAGAACACATGGCGGGCCTGGAGATGGTTTTTTTCAAGACGGGACTCAAGGTGGGCGATGTACTCGAAAAAATGAAACATTTCGGATTGGATAGCGCAGACAACAGCAGAAAACCGATGCGGTCCGATGAAGTGACAATGAGTTGACTTTGCACAAAGATTCAGACAAAAACTCAAATACGATT